TAGAAGTATATGTATGCAGGAAAGCTGAAAATAGCAAACAAAGATTGCGATTTATTAAACTTTATGCACAAAAATTGGCACTAAATACACTATACACTCCCACATTTACCCGTGTTCATGCAAATTACGCCATGAATGGCAATGCATATTAAAATGTCGCAAAATTTCTTGGCCTCTAAAATGAGCTTGTAAAAATAGTAGCAGAAAATATCTAATTGTTTTTTTAAAAATACCAACTTTTGCCTACGAAGTTGCGTACGCCTCTTTCAGGACCATTTTTTGTGCACTCAGTAGTTATAAATGGCGATGATGCAAAGGTCTAACATGCTGTACCAAACATGCAGTATAATAATGTAAATGGATTGTTTTGCTGGACACGGTGCAAATGACTTTTTTATTTTCCAGCTGAGGAGTTGGGTTCTGTTCCTGCTCCGTACTGTCTGAAAAATATTGAGGATGTGAGGGAGTTTTTGGGCCGCCATGCTGAAAAACTGGACAAGTTTGTTTCCTCCTTCTGTCTCTCCTTTAAAGAACAGGAGAGGAAAGGCCTACGCCATCACATAGTGAGTGTTAGATTTTGCTGTATTTGGCTTAACTATTCTTGGGTAGTTGCCTATGTATTAGATGACTCTAATACATAAAATAAATAAGCTGACCAAAGTTCTTACAGGGGGAAGACTTTATTGAAGACAGTGAATGGCACAGCTCCTCAGCATCAATGTTAACTTGTCGGTAACTTAACCCAAAGTACTGTCAGTAAGACACTACTTTATAACAAAGCATATGACCTCCCGGAGATTACCCAACTGGTTTGATTGGGTCACAACTCTTGAGTTCCTGTAGGCCATTTGGTTCACACCTTTTCAGATGCAGATACTTGTTTGCATATGAAACAAGCTATACAATCTATCATGAGACCGACTCTTATTTACACTCCGCCATGTGTTAATCAGAGACTGATGAGATTATTCTTTAAGAGATTTTTGAACAATAAGACATGTTCTATTAAAATAAACCAATCCACAAGGATCTTAATGAAAAATTATTGTTGCATTACAACATTTTCAAAATAAAACAATTTAAATTATTTAAATATATGTAGACCGTTTGTATTTCATTAGTAAAATTGTATAATGGCCTTCTGTTAGGTGGAAATTCAAAGATTTGTAGATGTTCTTGTATAGTTTCCCAGACATTAAACTTTCTTATTGTTATTTTTTTATTATTATTATTAATAATTATTTTGCTTCTATTTGAAAGACTGTTCAAAAAATTGTAAATATTCAAGCAAACTGGTGAAGTATCTTTTTAAACTATCCATTAAAAGAATTGGACGTAAAGAAATGCTTCACTTACAGATTCCAGCTACAGTATTTTGCTGTTCAAGCTTTGCTCCAGCTTTTCTTATAATTCATTAAATGCATTACAGCAAATGTGCTCTCTCTGGTTTTCCCACTGAAGTATCACTAATCATATATATATATATATATATATATATATATATATATATATATTCCTTAATCTTCCTTATATCTCAATGCTTAAAATATGATTTGCTGATTAATTTCCTGCAGGACTCGGTGAATACGCTTTACACCAGATGTCTTCAGTGTCTGCTGAGAGACTCTCGTCTGGTAAGATGTTGTAAGAGCTCAATCTCTTTAATATCTTTCTCCCCGATTGCTGAACGACGAAACATCTCTATTTCAGAAGCTTTTGGCGAGACAGGAGATTCAGATGACTCTACTCAAAGAAGCAGTAGAGGTCAGTTGAAAGCCATTTCTTTGTCTTTAATTAAATCGGTCCATTTATTTATTGCAGAACTGAACTGCATGCGAGCAGAAAATTCTTAGATATTTTAGCAGACATTAAAAAGCCTAGCCTCTAGATAGTAACACGTAAGCAACTACCTAACAACTGCTTTACAACACCTTAATAACCACACAGAACACCCTAGCAACTGCCTGAACACCTTAGCAACCGATTTTGTTAATAATTAAAAATATAAATAGTTTAATGATTTAAACAGTTTGTCTTGATATATTTCTCTGTCTGTTGTTTCGTGTCTCTCCATTTTCAGATGTACATCCATCATGGCATCCATGATCTACTCTTTAGTTATGTGGGCACTCTTGAAGCTAGTCGGGTACTGAATTTCCATTAATTCGTTAAATTTGCACAATGGTTGTGTGTGTGTGTGTGTGTGTGTGTGTTTGAAGGATGAAATATTATGTAAATCATATAATAATGTATAATATGTATTGACAGTTTGTTAGATTTATGTATTTAGAGCATTATGTTGAGCAGAACATTTAATAAAAATATCCTTTAATTATAAAATGATAAAAAAATAAAACTATTTAGTTGATTAATTGATAGATTGGTTTTATTGATTGTGTGTTCGTCACATAAATGTGGTTTTATTTGTCTGCTTGCATAGTGTCATGATTTAGTTCCCAGGAGTAAATTCTGAATTCTTTTTATTTTTATTGATATAGTGCAAATATTATTAGCACTATAAATAACAATTTTAAAATGCGTATGTTTGTTTATTAATATATAAATAGTGTGTATATATAAATAATAATGTGTAACGTATACAGTATGGTTAATCCTGCTCGTATTAATGATTGCTTTTCCCATTGTAAAAATATAATATAATATAATCTTTTTTTTTTCGTTTGAGATAACTAATTTTAAACATGATTTTGATATTTGTCTTTGTCAGGATGCAGCGTTCAACAAAACAACACGGTCCTTGCAGGATCTGCAGCAGAAAGAGCTGGGAGTGAAGTCCGAGTTCAGGTTGATTATTTTGTGTTTGCGAAGGCAGATCGCTCTTACTATTGTTTATTATTATATTTTACATAATAAGTCCTTTTATGCATATTTGCTCATCATATTCATTCATCATGAATTTTTATTGGGATTACTACATTTTGCCATACATTTCATCTTTAATTTAAATAACATTCATTTTTACTAATTGGTCACTTTCGGCCGAAGACAATGTGCAAACTTAATGAAACTTGACAAACATGAACAACAGCACATTCTGAGGAAACGCACCAATTTTTGCTTAATTCTGCCAGTAGGGGGCGCTACAGCTGAAATCCCATTTTAATCATAACTGTATGCTGTGTGAATCTTTGCTAGACGTTCTAAGAATTTGACAGGTGGATTATTCTGTTTGCGAAGCCAGATCATTCTTACTATTATTTTTTTTTTTGACTGAATATAAACATGAACAATATCTAACATATCTTATGCTAGCATTAAAAGAAAAGGTTAAGATATAAAAATGAAAACAATTATGAAAAAATGAATGAATGTTTACTACTAATACGTCTGTTTTCTGTGTAGTATTAATATTCCTCGGGCGAAGCGTGAGCTGATTCAGCTGAACGTCTGCACGTCTCCACAGCAGAAACTCCTCTGCATCCGGAAAGTCATTTTAACCATCATGCAGTCGACCAGACGCAGAGATACAGGTCTTTTATCCTTTTTTTTATTTATTTGTTTGCATGTATTTTATAATCAGGTTAACAGAATCTGGTTGTATTATTTACTTTTTTAAATTTATTACCTATTATTATTTAAACATATATATTAAATAATTTTTAAATTGAGTCATTTTCTTTTTCATTTTTTTTAAATGATCAGGATAATTTGGTTTTATTTAATTTTTTTATATTACTTTTAACATAATTATTAATAAAACTTTGGTTTGATTGTTCTGTAATTTATTTATTTATTTGTTTTAATGATCAGGATAACAGTCTGGTTTTATTATTTACTTTTTTTTACATTTACTTCATTTACACATTTATATTACATTTAACATATTGCCGTTTTTGATTGTTCAGTCTATATATCATTTCTTATTTCATTTTTTATGATCAGGATAACAGTTTGGTTGTATTATTTACTCTTTATTTTATATTTATTTATTTACACATACCTGCATTAGGTTTTCACACATTCACTTATTTAATCATTTGTTTATTTACTTATTTCAAGTGATATAATTACATTAACAGTCTAGTTTGGTGACCCACAGTTTTAAATACCCTCCATATTATCATTCTTTAAATAGATTCTTAATGAAAGCATTGTTTTGAACTGAAATTTGAAAATAGTGCTATGTAAATGTTTGTCTGAATGTCATCTTATGGTCAGATCTGCTCCTGCGTGGCTTTAACCAGATTTACCAGCCTTCGTTGGTTTCCAACAGTTTAGGCTCTGTTTCAGCTGCGATTCTGGCAGAAAAACAACACGTCCAGTGTGTGTAAAGCAGAGGAATGTTTTGCTAATGCCTGCTTGTCAAACAGCTTGTTTAGCAATTTACCCAAATTTAACATAACAGGAGGCTGAAGGCTGACAGAATAGGCAGATTCTGTGCTTTTAATAAACGTGTTCACTGCTTGTTTGCTTTAGTTTTCTTCTGTGTGGTCATGCTTAAAATCGCATTTTGGTCTTGGCATCAATGATAATTTAAAGGGGAGCTGTTAAGCCCCTTTTTACAAGACATAAAATAACTCTGTCTCTATAGTGTGTGTGTGTGTGTGTGTGTGTGGTGTGTGTGTGTGTAATTTCAGCACAAAATACCACACAAATGTTCTCTAGCTCTCTGAAACTGGCCCTTTTAGGCTTTAATCCTAATTGTGTCATTTTGTTGACTTTCGCTTTATATGCAAATGAAATTGCTTTTTTCAAAAGAGGGTGGAGCTACAGATGCCTGTGTTTCAGCATAGTGGCAGATTCAAAACAGGACTAAGAACATATGCAAATGATGGATAGATGGTCACTAGTGGGCGGGGCTTTCTCCCTATGACATGTACGAAACGAAAATGTCAATCAAAGTGTTTTTGCAGACTGTTTTCATCCTGTAATTATTAAAAAAAAATTATTAATACTTGTTTACCATTAAAATTTGATTATTCACAGACTGTTATAACTGAACGGTTTAAACCCCTTACGAAAGTGATTTTTGTATAATAGGTGCCCTTTAACCTATATAAGTGCTAACAGTAACTGATTACATGTAATCTGCATTACATAATAAGATTACAAAAAATATAGCTTATTTTTAAAAGCTACAAGCGAGATTAGTTTTTTTTTTATAGGTTTTGTAATTACAAGTTGCTCAATAGTGGTTAATAATTTGTAATTGTTATAGATTATCTTTAATTATTTCTCTCTTTTAAAAATGAGTATCAATTGGTTCATATTAATTACGCAGTTTAAAATGACCCTTTAAATATTTGATAACTCTTAGATTTGACTTGCAAGCTATGCTTTGAAAAAACAAGAAATATCAAAGTAACCAATAAATCAGGTCAAAAGGAACCTAAAAGTAATTATAGTTATCAGAACTCCCATGATTCCACCCTTAGTCAGACCTTCATCATAATACACCTTTGTTTATTGTGAAATAAGCGCCCTCTAGTGGCCAAATATACACACTGTGCCTTTTAATAAGCTCTTTCAATGGTTGTGATGACCTCTGTTGTCCTCCAGCGGTGAGCATCGAGTCCATGTGTGCCGATGATCTGCTGTTGGTCATTCTGTATCTGCTCATCAAGACAGAAATTCCCAACTGGTGAGTGAAGGGCTTTATTTCACCCGTCAGGTGTTTATTAATTCCTCGTGCAGACTCTTGAGCCTCTGCTGTTTTCTTCAGGATGGCCAATCTGAGTTATATAAAGCACTTCCGCTTTCGGAGCTCCAGCAAGGATGAGTTGAGTTACTGTCTGACGTCTTTCGAGGCCGCGGTCGAGTATATCAGCCTGGGAAACCTCAAACACAACACCGATGTGAGCCAGACCTGCTTCTTTCATTCAGTTTTCTGCACAGCGTCACATGTTTGAGCACACTTACATTTAGTCATTTAGAAGACGCTTTCGTCCAAATCGACATTCATCGATTTACCAAGAGGAAATACACACAACAAATTTGTGCTTTGGTCCACAGGGGTCAGGAAACAGACTGTCCTTCAGGCAGAAGGTGGACCTACTGTCCCAGAATGCAACACCCATTGACCGGCTGTTTGAGGTGGGCACCGCCTTATTATTATGTTTTAGTTTTCACTTTCAGTTAACACGGGATCAAATACTGTGCTCATATTAGGAGTTTTCCTGGATAACAACAAAACACAGGTTAAGATTAGTGAGGCAAACAGCATTTCATAGTAGTTCTTGATAAAAGTAAACATGTTTTAAGAGACTTTAGCAGTGATATATGATTGTGTGTGTGTGTGAGTGTGTGTTCAATTCAATTCATCTTTATTTGTATAGGGCTTTTACAATGTAGACAGTGTCAAAACAGCTTCACAGACGATCATTGTGAATTGAAACAGTGTAGTTTAGTTTTCAGAGTTTAAGGGTGCTTTCACACCTGCCTTTAGTTAGATTAAATCGCACTGAGTTCGTTTTCCCTTTTGGTACGGTTCGTTTGGGCAGGTGAACATGCAGCAATCATATTCGAGCGGACCAAAAGCCAAAAGCGGACCAAAATAAGTGTACCGAGACCTGCTTAAAGAGGTGGTCTTGGTACGCTTTCAAACGAACCCTGAAGCAGTTTGTTTGTGGTGAGAATATGATCTGAACTAAAACCGGTCCAACAGCAAAAAGTACTGCGCCTTTTAGACTAATCCAGCTGCTGTAGGCTGATGCGCTGTGCATTATGGGATATGGAAGAAAAATATTTGTTGACAGCGCTGTACCAACAGAGAGAGAGAGAGAGAGGGGAAAACATTACCTGATGGATCGTTGGTAATATTTCTGCAAGATGGCCATGTCACAGGGTAGCTAAATTAATTCACGCCTCCTGAAGTGACCAGCGATGCATTAAACACTGTTTTCCAGCCGCGGCCGCACTTCATTCTAGAAATATATAGTTTGTCTAAAGCAGGGATGAAATCAGTCAGCGCAGTCGTCCCTCCAGAGTAAAAAGCGTCGTTTTGTGTCTGCCGGAGTTTTGTTTGCCTGCAGGAGTTCATTGGCATTTTCCTGCACGTCAATTCTGACCAATCAACAAGCAGTTTAGGAAATATGTTCAACAACATCTGCCCAATGAGAGATGTGGATTTTGTCAGATGACTGCATTTTGGTTCGTTTCAACTGGTTCGGACCAAAGCCAGCAGTGTGGTGTGAAAACGACCCAAAGACGGCAGAAAATGCTACAATTATCATTTGTTGCTCTTGGTCCGGACTAAATGAAGCGAACTACAGATGTGAAAGCACCCTTAGATCAGTTCAGTCTAGCTCAGTTCAGTTCAGTGTGTTTTAATATTTACTGCTGAAAATCCAAACACTAAAGTGTAATCCATCGATGCGCAGCTCTACAAGTTCCAAACTACGCAAGCCAGTGGCGACAATTACGAAGAAAAAAAAAAAAAACTTCACCAATGGGCGAAAGTGAAGGGGAAAAAAATCCTCAGGAGAAACCTGGCTCAGTTAGCACGACCATTTCTCATATTGCAAAATGTCTTGTGGAGAGCTGCAGTGTAGGCGCTGGAGAACGCAGGAAGTCAGCGAAGACTCTGTGGTCCCTGGAGTCTCACAGGAATCAGTCTCAGGCTCTCCACTCCTCCATGACCACCACAGCAGCTGATACGGCCTTGTCCGGGAATTTGGAAACCTTGAGATCATCTCTTCACAGGTCGTGAATCACTTCAGTGGCACTGCATAATCTCTGGGGCCCTCGGGATGAGTATCCCCAGGTGAGAATAGAGAATGAAGAGAATAGTTAGCGTAGCTGCGTTTCATAATGTATATTAACAAGAGGCAGAAACCTGTGTGGAGCACATGCATGTATCATACCGCTAAGAGATGCACTGAGTGTGTGCTTTACTAAAAAGATAAGTCTTTAATCTAGTTTTGAATTGGCAGAGCGTGTCTGAGCCTCGGACATTATCAGGAAGGCTATTACAGAGTTTAGGAGCCATAAATGAAAAGGCTCGACCTCCTTTAGTGAACTTTGCTATTCTAGTTACTAACAGAAGCCCTGAGTTTTGAGATCTTAAAGAGCGGGTTGGATTGTAGCAAACAGAAGGTTGGTTATATTAACAGGAGCTCGATTATTTAAAGCTTTATAGGTGAGAAGCAATATTTTAAAATCAATACGAAACTTAACAGGCAGCCAGTGTAAGGAGGATAACATTGGGGGGATATGATCATATTTTGTGTGTGTGTGTGTGTGTGTTGGATTTGTGTATTTTGTTTGTGCTTTGTGTGTGTTTGTTAAACGTATTTTTTTGTTTGTGTGTTTGTATTGGATTTTGTGTATTTTTCTTTTGTGTGTTTGTGTGCGTGTATGTTTGTTTGATTTGTCTTATGTATGTGTGTGTGTATATGTTTGTGTATGTTATGTGTTTGTCTGGTGTACATATGTCTGTCTGTGTGTGTATGCTTGTTTTTTTGGTGTTTTTATATAATTGTGTGTGTGTATCTGTGTCTGTGTGTTTTTGTATTTGTTTTCTGTGTGATTGTGTTTGTGTGTTATTATGTGTGTGTTTGTTGATGTGTGCATATGTCTTTGTGTGTGTGCACGTGTTTGTGTGTTTTTCCGTGTGTGTTTGTGCATGTGAGTGTAATTTAATTATAATTGTGTGTGTATTTTTGTTTGTTTTCTGTGTGGTTGTTTTTTGTGTTTTATGTATGCGTGTGTGCATATTTGTTTGAATATCTGTGTATTTTATTGGGGTTTATGTGTGTTAATTTCCAGCATATTGTGAGCGGAAATGAGCAGGAGGTTCAGCGTTTGCTCAGTGAAAGCGAGAGTGAGGAGGACGGCAGGAAGTTGTGTCACCCTCTGTGTTCCTGTGACGCCTGCGACCTGCGCATCTCTGGGTCAGCGAACAACACTCACACGCATCATTCACAGCATACATGCACAGAGGCTTTAAGGTGATCGGAAATGTAGTGACAAACTTTAAACACCTCATAATTAGAAATAAAAAAAGTATTGCATTGGCCGAACCAGCAGCTGTTTTGTTTAATTTATTAATTCGTTTTATTATTAATAATCTGAAGTTGCCACAGCAGAATGAACTGCCAACTTATCAAGCATATGTTTTACGCAGCGGATGCCCTTTCAGCTGCAACCCAACACTGGCAAACGCCCATACACTCTTGCATTCACATACAGCCTATTTAGCTTATTCAGTTCCCCTATAGCGCATCGAAACCCACGCCAACATGGGGAGAACATGCAAACTCCACACAGAAACACCAACTGACCCAGCTGGTGCTCAAACCAGTGACTTTCTTGCTGTGAGGCGACAGTGCTAACCACTGAGCCACCGTTTATCAAATTAATTTAGACAGATTTGACATGTTAGCCCACCACAATGTAAACTAACTAGAAAGTACGCAGTTTGCCTACTTTTCTCCTTACATGTATTTTTGCCTTTCTTGACATTTTTCTTGGAGCAGGAGATTGAATGATCCTTCCATCGTCACTCCATTCTCTCGAGACGACAGAGGATACACTCCTTTACATGTTGCTGCTATTTGTGGTGAGCATTGCATGTTTTTATTATTGTATTTTTTATGACTTTGTTGTGTTTGGTTTAGATTGTTATTGCTTTGTTTGTTTGTTTTATTTGGATTTTGTCTTGTTTTATATTGATTTTGCATAGTTTTTGCTTTTCTGTTTAGTTATTTTTAATGTTTTTTTGTTTGTTAAATATGCTTTAAATGTAAATTAACTTTGGTTTTTGGTTTATTTTAGTTTCTCTTTCTTGTTTTTTTATTTTGTAAATTGTTTTGGTTTCTTGTCTAGTTTGTTTTTACCTTTGTTCTGCTTGTTTGTTTTGTTTGCATTTTTTTCTGACATGTCAGAACTGCTATTTTACAATAGAGCGGATGTTTCTGCATTAGTAGGATTCACAAGTTTGACAGTTTAATAATAATAATCTTGTGCTGTGTTTGTTAACAGGTCAGTCTCAGATGATTGATTTACTGGTGTCAAAGGGAGCAGTGGTAAACGCTACCGATTACCATGCACTCACACCGCTGCACCTCTCCTGCCAGAAGGGCTACCAGGGCGTCACGGTCAGAACTAATGTTTTTTTTTATTACACAGCTTTCTGGAATACTCAATTCTGATTGGTCAGTCGTGACATTCCAAGATATGTTAAATACCCAGATAACAACCGGTAAATAACATAGACTTCGAATCGCCTTTGACCGTCAGTGAATACGTTCACATCCATATACTTTCTATGTATCTGCATGTCTGTCATGGGCCATTTTTATTATAATATTTTTTTTTTGCATTGTTTGATGTCGTCTTGTGAATGAATAATGCTTCGGTTAGTTTATGCTCCGTTCAGCCAATTTAGTTTATGTGAGCTTTACCTTTTTGACTATATAGCACCATCTTGTGACTGAATAATGCACAGGTTAGTGTATACTTCATCAGCTGTTTTAGTTTCTGTCAGCTTTGTTTTTGACTGACTGGCGCCATCTTGTGTCTGAATAATGCGCAGGTTAGTGTATACTCCATCAGCTGTTTTCATTTCTGACAGCTTTGTGTTTATTTAGAGATTTAATATACTATTACGGCTCAGAGCAGTGCTTTGTTTCAAAGTTTTCTGTTTTGTGTCAATTATCCATGTAATAAGTAAGAGAGCACATCCAGGATGGTTGTTTTTGCAGAATAAAGCCATGCAATAACTTCCTGGATGTATCCCTAACATATTATATATTGTATTGGTCCCAAAATTGGCTCCGTATGTGCCATCACTTTGTGCATAATAAAGTCTCAAATATGATAATTAACGATCAACTGTAACTGCATTATCAAGACGTCTTAAAACTAAAAGTGGCTTACAACTTGCAGATTTAGTAGAACATCTTAAAAATAAAGGCTATGTCAGTGGTAAATTTATGACTTGTACTGCTTTAGGTGTTTACAAAGCAGTTCAGCACTAAAAAGATAAGAAAACAAGTTAAAATACATCCTTTTCTCTTGTGTTTTTATCTGCAAATAATGTGTGAAGATTTTTGCTTTTGCTTTCATTTATTGGTATTACTATCATGATTTAGTTTTTTTCCTCTTTTCTCTTTTTCACCTTTGTACAGCACTTTGGCCAAATAAAACGTGCTCTATAAATAAAGCTGAAGCTGAACACTAGCTCCAAACCCCTATTAGCAGTTTAATTAATGTTGTGTTTGCTGTTATAGCTTCTCCTGCTGCATTATAAGGCCAACACTGATGCTCAGGACAACAATGGAAACACTCCTCTACATCTGGCCTGCATGTACGGACATGAAGACGTAAGGCATAGTAGTACTGATATACCTCCAAATGTAATGCATCATATTTTATTATGCATGAAATATAAGATTGCATTTTTGTAACTGTATTGGTAAACTGCATTCAAAAAATACTGTTTAAAATGCAGTGGAATTTTTTATTTAATTTTTAACTTAATTTTTTAATGTTGATGAGTATTTTACCTTGGCATTACTACCTGGGTAGTGGTTGTGTAATTCCCATAATGCTTTGTGTGAGACTGCATTAATAGAGGAAAATGTTTGTTGCTTTGTTGCTGAACTGTCCCTTTAATTCACAATATAATAACGATTAAATAAATGTAACCATATTTATATTTATTGCATTTATTTTGTTATTTTGATCCATTTGTTTAAATTAAGTTGGTGTTTTGTGTATGTATGTGTTTTGTGTGCGCTATGTGTAAGAAATAACACCATTGAATTTGTGCCATTTATATTAAAGTCTACTTGAAATTAAAATGTATAATGTTTATTTTGCTAGCGCACATTGTTAACCTTAATGCGAACAATTATTTAGGTCATTTTAAATCAAAATCTGCGCACGTGCTTCTGCTCGAAACAGGTCTTGGCACTTTGATTAGACAAAATATGCTTAGCCACGCCCCTCTGACCATTAATTTGTTGCTAGTTAAAGATTAGAGGCAGACCTCCAGAATTAAGCCCCGCCTTCTACTCAATATTCAGTTTCACTTGAAAATGCATCATCCTCCGAAGCTCCGACCATTCTTTCGTCATATTGGGACTGGAAGAGGAATATTAAATGAGAAAACAGTGGGCGTGGCTTGTTTTTTTTTTTTCTCTACTGCAAGCTGATTGGATGTAGTAAAGTAGGCATTTTATTCAGAAAGATAACAGACTCCTCCTCCTTACTATTAGTGAAGTGTGTTAGCCCCGCCCAGTACGTCATACAGAGATTTTAATTTCACATTACAATTTCTTTTCTTAATGACATGCACAGATGAATTGTTCACCGCAAAACTAGCAATGCGAGCTAACAGAATCAATACGGTTAGTTTTGATTTCATGTGCACATTAAACCACACCAGTTATTTACAGCTTGAGTGTGTGTTTTGCTGTTGTGTTTTCAGTGTGTGAAGGCGCTGGTGTACTTCGATCTGCACTGCTGTCGGCTGAACGTTCAGAACGATAAAGGAGACTCGCCGCTGCACATCGCCGCTCGCTGGGGATACGAGGGCATCATGGAGGTGCTGCTGGAGAACGGAGCGTCCACGCTCATCCACAATAAAGCCAAGGAGACGCCGCTGCACTGCGCGCTCAACTCCAAGGTCCACATTATCTGCGCTTCACATTCTGTACTGGCAGTTCATCAGTGACTACGTTTACATGGACACCAGTAATCTAATTATTCAAATAGGAATTGCATCACGGAGACCTCCAAGTGGGAGCGATGCCGCAAGTGGGCTGGGTTTAGGGTTGTGTAGGTAGTAGTAGAAGTAGACATTAATAAAACACAGCAGGTTACTGTGCGTTTGGGGGTGGGTGTAGACATTCATAAAACACAATAGGTTGGACTCTAAAAGACATTAGTAAAATGATGGAGCTTAAGTCCCACCCACTTGGAGCTGGTCGTAGGGAAAAGTCCTACGTGATGGTAATAGTTGCGGTGTTTACATGTCTGTACTGCACTTCAATAATGCCCTTAAAACAGAAATACTCCATGTCCTCTTTTCAGTTCGGTTTAGTTTGATTATGCCTTTAGTCTGAATAAGGTCATCAATAATCTCTGTTTACATGGTCGACTCTTAAGCCTCATTCACACTACGCAACGGCAAGACTACAAGTGACCGCTCATTTCAATGGAGAGTGAGCGACTGCCGGCGACATCTGTCTGCGACAGCGACCATTGGCGACCAGGTGGGCGTGTCTAGTGACACGACAAAGTTGCGAATCCTTTAACTTTATGCAAATGAATTCTTGAGCGACAGCCAATAGGAGCATAAGTAGAGCTCATCTCTCTGTTCTCTCAGAGGCCGGTTGTATTCATGCTGTATAGACCTAGAGAGGCCTGCGTTTGAAGTGTTTGAGGCAGCTACAAAGTGGTTGCTACTGTGGATGAGGCATTAATCAGAGCATTGTCTTAATCTAATTAAATTATGAGTATTGGTGTCCATGCAAACATACTAATTGTATCGCACCTATGAACATGCAACTCAAGCTGTTTGTGGACATTTAGATTGCTCATAAGCAGCTTGTATCTAGTGTTGGTTGTCCAGGTTAGAAATGGTTAGGTGGGTTTTGCACATGATGTGTTCTTCTGTCTTGTAGATTCTGTCATTGTTGGAGCGCAGACACAACGACTCCAGTATAAGGGAAAGTGGATTCGAGGTGAGGTGATGCGTTTACATCTTCACACTGACTGTAATGCTGGTTAGGTCATTAAAATAACTTTTTATTCAGTAACATTACTTAGTAATTCTTTTGTTTTGGCTTTGTAGTAGAAACTGAACTTAAATTGGATCTGTGTGTGTGTGTGTGTGTGTGTGTGTGTGTGTGTGTAAATGCACACAAATAAATATTCATTCATTAATTTTTTTCAGCTCAGTCCCTTTATTAATCAGGGGTCGCCACAGCGGAATGAACCCCCAATTTAGCAAGCATATGTTTTACGCAGCGGAGTCCATTCAATCTGCAACCCAGTACTGGGAAACTATACACTCTCATTCACACACATAAACTATGGACAATTTAGCCTACCCAGTTCCCCTATAGCGCATGTGTTTGGACTGTGGGGGGAAACCCACGCCAACATGGGGAGAACATGCAAACGCCAACTGACCCAGTCAAGGCTCAAACCTTCAGCAACCTTGTAGTAATGCAATTGTGCTACCGTGCCACCTGCATGAAAATAATTAAAATTGGGATTTAATATTTCTTAACAAACTAAGTCACTGTACTATATATTCAGGCTTTTGAAAATCAGTTCAAGATTTCATACTACTGAAATACTGATGAAATAATAACTTTATTCCTTTTAATTTCCATTAACTTCAAATAATATAATAAAAATATATACAGTTGAAGTCAGAAGTATTAGCCCCTGTTTATTTTTTCCCCCGTTGTCTGTTTAACAGAGAGCAGATTGTTTTCAGCACATATCTAAACATAATAGTGTTAATAACTCATCTCTAATAACTGATTTATTTTCTCTGTCATGATGACATCATATTAGACTAGATATTCTTCAAGACACTTCTATACAGCTTAGTGACATTTAAAGGCTTCACTAGGCAGGTTAGGGTAATTGGGCAAGTTATTGTTTAATGGTGGTTTGTTCTGTAGACTATCGGAAAATAAATTGGCCTAAATGACCTAATTATTTTGTCCTTTAAAATTAAAATTATTAAAATTAAAAACTGTTTTTATTCTAGCCAAAATAAAAAAAGACTCTCCAGAAGAAAAAAATATTATCAGACATGCTCTGCAATTCTTTTGCTCTGTTAAACATAATTTGGGAAATATTTAAAAAACAATAAAAATTAAAGGCAGACTAAAATTTCTGATTTCAACTGTATATTATAAAGAAATAAATATAATAAAGACCAATAATATTATAATTAATTTGTTAAATATAATTTATATTCTAATATATTATACACTTATATTAAATGCCCTTTATATCCCAATGTAATATACAGTACATTTGTAATAAAGAATACCATATATATTCTAGTATAATGTAATTTCCATTTAAAGATACACATTTAAATTTCTTTTTTTTAATTTACCATTTATAGTTATGTGTTTGGGAGTTTGCATGCTGGGTTGCAGCTGGAAGTGCATCTGCTGTGTAAAACATGTATATGTACAAATAACTTGGATATAATTTAGATTAAATTATATCTAAATTAAATATATATTAACTTTTACCAGGCTTTGTCAGAGTAAAACCGGTATTAACATTTCACTGGTCTCTTGATTTACTTTTCTGTTGTGTTTTGAGCTCTCTGCAGTTTCCTCTTCATCCGTTTACCACTCGTCCATCTCTCAACTGTTGAGCCCATCCTGACACACAAAACATCCTGAGAAACAGAGAAGTGTTCATTTGTCTAGAATAACTCTAATGTATATGTTGTTTGCTTCTGTATGTCCGCAGTCTCCGAGCCGCTCTCCTCCTCCGTCAGACGGCAGCAGCAGACGCTCCTCCATCTCCAGCTCATCCTCTCTGAGTATTGAAACCTCTCCGCTGGAGTCTGACCGCAGCCGGCACAGAGAGGTCAGACAGCGCCATCTGCAGGAACAGGCCAGATCAGCAGCACTGACAGAGTTCATAATCCTAATATAATAATTGACTTAAGCAAGGTTCCCACACTACTTTAAAGTACTTGAATTTCAAAAGTATGGATTTAAAGGCCTGGAAAGTAATTAAAATTATTTTTAAAGTCAATTTTAGATTTAAGTGAAATGATAATTAAGGACTTTCATGTTGCTAAATGCTGTATGCTGGGGGTGTGAATTACAAAGGTGCTTGATTTAAAATTAATGGTGCTTTAAAAAGTCAGTGAATGCATGGGAGCCCTGTATAATATAACAATCAAATATGTTAGACTAGAAAATGATGGTCGTCATTAAGAGGTCTTCTACTAGCATATGAATATTTACTCTATGGTGGTTTTAAACCTTTCTGCTTTTTTTTTTTGTTTTGTGGTATATTGTTTTGATTGGGGTTTTTAGTGTTTTTTTATTTGGTTTTGGTGGTTTTTCTTGTGTTTTCTTTTTTTTTTTTGGTAGTTATTTTATGTGTTTTTTTGTTATTTGCTTTGTGCTTGTTTGGTTTTGTTTGTTTTTTTGTGTTCATTGGCTTCATTTTGTTTGAGTTTCGTTTGTTTTTCAATTGTGTGTTTTTTTTTTTTTGTTATTTGTTATGTTTGAGTTTTAGTTGTTTTTTGGTAATTATTTATGTATGTTTTGTTATTTGTTTTGGTTGTTTTTTTTGTGTGTGTTCATTGGCTTCATTTTGTTTGAGTTTCGTTGGCTTTTTATTTGTTTGTTTTTTTTGGTAGGTTTTTTGTGTTATTTGTTGTGTTTGAGTTTTGGTAGTTTTTCATTTGTGTTTTTTGGTAGTTATTTTTGGGTTTTTGTTTAAGTTTTGTTTTTAATTTTTGTGTTTTTTTTTAGGTTTGGCTTGTTTTTTTTGGTTTTTGTTTCTTGTGTTTTTTGTTTTTGGAAGTTATATTTGTCTGTGTTTGTTTGTTTGTTTGTTTGTTTGTTTGTTTGTTTTGTTAGTTTTTTCTTGTTCATTTAGTTATTTTGTTTGTTTGTTTATTGGCTTGGTGTTGTGTTTGAGTTATGGTTGTTTTTCAGCTGTTTTTTTTTTAGTTTTTGGTTTGTGTTTTTAATTTGGTGGTTTTGGTGTGTTTTTGTTAATTGTTTTGTGATGGTTTGGTTTTGGTTGTTGTGTGTTTTTGTTTCGTTTGTTGGATTTTTAGTTTTGCTTGTTTTTGTTTGTTTGTTTGTTTTTTGTGTGTGTTTGTTTGCTTTGTGTGTGTTTGTTTGGTTTTGATTGTTTTATTTTGTCTTTCTTTAGTTTTGTTTTAAAACAATGGTTCAAGTCTGTTTCTGTTTGATCGATTATTTCTGTTTTTAAATTAGCTCAGATTTGTCTTCCATTTTTAATAGTATTTTTACTTTCGAAATTAGCATCATCACCTAATTATTAATCGTGATGTTTATATGTGTAACATTTATTTCTGAATCCCTGTTGTTGTTTTGGATGAGCAGGTGGAGAAGCTGTTGAGAGCCGTGGCTGACGGAGATGTGGAGATGGTGAGCTCATACACTTGTTTTAATGTTAACATTTGCGCAGAGAAATGCATTATTGTGTGTGTTTCAGGTGCGTTATCTCCTGGAGTGGCTCGATGAGGATCCAGATGAAGAGGAGTCTGCAGTGCCAGTCAAGACGGAGCTCTGCCATCCGCTGTGCCAGTGTGCCAACTGCGAACCCACACAGAAGGTGGAGTACAGAGCATTTAACATTACCTTTACTGCTAATTAATAATTATAAATGTATAATTCATCCACAAATGCACTAATACTTTTACACATAGTCTGCAAGAGTATGTTCAGTATGTTGATGTAATTTCAACTGAATCTGAATATGGAGTAGGGGGCGGGGCTTTCTTTTGCACATCATTCCCTCATTGCACACCAACAGTAAGAGGGGCGTGGCTAAGAATATTGTGGTTAAATGTGTGCAGAAGGCAGCTCATCTTCATCCAGACAGTGTGGGTGTAAACAGCAGCAGTGTTGACGGCTTCACGCCGCTGCATGTGGCGGCGCTGCATGGACACACACCTCTCATCTCTCTGTTCACACGCCACGGCGCAAACCTGAACGCTCGCAACAACCACAGCGCCACCCCACTGCACCTGGCCTGCCAGAACAACCACACAGAGGTCATGCAGACACTGAACATTACACTGGTATCCATGTGTGTGTGTGTTTGTGCATATATATGTGTGTGTGTGTGTTGCTAGCGTGTGTCTGTTTGTTTTGTGAGTGAATGTGTGTGTGCAATTGTTTGTATATTTTTGAGTGTGTGTGTGTGTGTGTGCGCATGTGTCTGTTTTTTTGTTTGTGTGTGCATGCTTTCGTGTTTGTGCATGTTTATTTTTTATTTGTGCGCTTGTGTGTGTGTGTGTGTGTGTGTGTGTGTTTCTTTGTGCATGCATGTGTGTGTGCTTGCTTGTTTGTTTGAGTGTGTCTTTTTATGTGTGTATTTATGTATGCGAGTGTGGGTGTGTGTTTGTGCATCTCCATTTTTTTTATAAGTGTGTGTGTGTGTGTGTGTGTGTGTGTTTTTTTGTTTGTGCGCATGCTTTCGTGTGTGTGCATACATTTTTGTGCATGTTTATTTTTTATTTGTGCACGTGTGTGTGTTTCTTTGTGCATGCATGTGTGTGTGCTTGCATGTTTGAGTGTGTCTTTTTATGTGTGCGTGCGTGTGTGTGTGTGTGTGTGTGTGTGTGTGTGTGTGTGTGTGTGAATATGTATGTATGCGAGTGTGTGTTTGTGCATCTCCATTTTTTTATGTGTGTGTGTGCGTGTGTGTATGCATATGCATGATGCATGTGTGTGTCTGTTTTTTATTTGTGTGAGCATGAATGCGTGTGTGCATTTGTTTGTGCATCTGTGTGTATTTTCTGTTTGTATGTGTGTGTGCGCATGTGCCCGTGTGTGTGCTTGTGCATTCTGGTATTTATCACATTGCAGGGACCCAATGTCCCCTGAAGTATAGCAATACCAGTTTTTGACATTTTGACATTGTGTTTAGGGTTAGGGTATGCGCATACAAAACAGACACACACACATATGCAAGCACATGCACACAGAAATGCACAAACAAACACACACGTAAATACATACACATTCCTGTACACACACAAACAAGCAAACAATATACAGTCTATAGTAGAAATTAGATATGGGGAGAGCCTATAAAACATGAAAACACAACAAGGTGTGTGTGTGTGTGTGTGTGTGTGTTTGCTGTAGGTGGTCTGTGCTCTCCTGGAGTGTAATGCCAAACTCAATAAGAAGGATCATTATGGGAACACACCGCTCATTCAGGCCTGTCTGAAGGGGAATCTGGAGATCGCCGGCGTCCTGCTGGAGGTAATCTGCTGGTTGTGTTTATATAGCTGGATACCATTTATTACTCCTTTTCATCCATCCATCCATCTATATAACATCTATCCATTCATCCATCTGTCTGTTCATTTATCTATTTACCATCTAGCTATCCTTTTGTCTATCTATCTATCGATCTATCTATCCATCCATGTCTGTCCATTTATCCATTCATCCATCTGTCCATCCATCCATTTATTCATCCATGTCCGTCTATCTATCTATCTATCTATCTATCTATCTATCTATCTATCTATCTATCTATCTATCTATCTATCTATCTATCTATCTATCTATCTATCTATCTATCTATCTATCTATCCATGTCTGTCCTTTTATCTATCTGTCTGTCTGTCTGTCCGTCCGTTTGTCCGTCCGTCCATCCTTGTTTATCCATTCATCCATCTGTCTGTCTGTCTATCCATTCATCCATCCAGCTATCTGTTTGTTCATTTATCCATCCATTCCATCTATATATCATCCAATCGTCTATCTGTCTAGCCATCCATCCATTCATCCATTCATTCATCCCTCCATCTATTTAACATCTGTCCATTCATCAATATATCATCTATCTATCCTTTATTCATCTATGCATCCATCCATCTTTATATCATCTATTCTTCTTTTTGTCGGTCCATTTATCAATTCATCCATCCATCCCTTCTTCCATCTATATAACATTTATCCATTCATCCATCTCCATCCATCCATGTCGGCTTTCAAAGTCTACATCAGAGTTAGCCTATACTGCACATCCAGTGTGCGCTTCTCCGTCCTATTACAAAGTGTGTGTTAGTTTGGCGAGTTTGCCGTGTAACAGTGTGTTCTGTGTCCGTCAGAGCGGTGCGCTGGTAAATCTGGCCAATAACCACGGGAACACGGGTCTGCATGAGGCTGTGAGAGGAGCAAACGTGTCGCTGGTGGAGCTGCTGCTGCACAGAGGAGCTTCAGTTCACATCCGCAACAACAGACAGAGAACATCGCTGGACTGCGCACACGAGGCCGCCGCCAAGGTCAGAGTGCACTATACACTATCCACTGCTG